CATTCAGCTTTGTTCTGTTGCTGGCGACAAGCTGCCTTCCTTTGGGGGGGGAGAGGTGCTCTGATTTTTAGAATTTTCAACTTTTCTGCTCTGTTTATTCCCCATCTTTGTGGTTTTATGTACCTTTGGTCTTTGATGATGGTGACGTACAGGTGGGGTTTTTGTGTGGATGTCCTTTCTGTTTGTTGGTGTTCCTTCTAACAGTTAGGACACTCAACTGCAGGTCTGTTGGAATTTGCTGGAGGTCCACTCCAGACCCTGTTTGCCTGGGTGTCAGCAGCGGAGTCTGCAAAACAGTGTATATTGCTGAACTGCAAATGTTGTTGCCTGATCGTTCTTCTGGAGACTTCATCTCAGAAGGGTACCTGGCCATATGAAGTGTCAGTCCGCCCCTACTGGCAGATGCCTCCCAGTTAGGTTACTCGGGTGTCAGGTACCCACTTGAGGAGGCAGTCTGAGTGTTCTCAGATCTCAAACTCTGTGCTGGGAAACCACTACTCTCTTTAAAGCTGTCAGTCAGGGACATTTAAATCTGCAGAGGTTTCTACTGCCTTTTGTTTGGCTATGTCCTTCCCCCAGAAGTAGAGTCTATAGAGGCAGGCAGGCTTCCTTGAGCTGTGGTGGACTCCACCCAGTTCCATCTTCCCAGCCGCTTTGTTTACCTACTCAAGCTCAGCAATGGTGGGTGCTTGCCTCACTGCCATCTTGCCATTAGATCTCAGACTGCTATGCTAGCAATGAATGAGGTTCCATGGGTGTGGGACCCTCTGAGCCAGGTGCAGGATATAATCTCCTGGTGTGCCATTTGCTAAGAAAACTTGGAAAAGCGCAGTATTCGGGTGAGAGTGACCCAATTTTCTTGGTGCTGTCTGTCACAGCTTCCCTTGGCTAGGAAAGGGAATTCCCTGACCCCTTGTGCTTCCGGTGTGAGGTGGTGCCTCGCCCTGCTTTGGTTCTCCCTCAGTGGGCTGCATCCACTGTCCTGCACCCACTGTCTGACATGCCCCAGTGAGATGAACCTGGTACCTCTGTTCAAAATGCAGAAATCACCCGTCTTCTGCATCGCTTATGCTGGGAGCTGTAGACTGGAGCTGTTCCTATTCAGCCATCTTCTTAGAGATTTTCTATATGAGAGGGATCCCTAAAGTCTGAGAAAGAGGGGAATGGGAGGATTTTGTATCTGTGACAGAAGGTAAAGTTAGCAAGACATGGGCTTAGAACCTACATTAGAATCATCTTTGTTACAAGTTGTTCCAACTAAATTTTCTTACAGAAATATATCTGATTTAGTACTGAAAAAGAAAATGAGGACACAGGATTTATTTTACAGGATAACTTGAAAGCTAATTTACTGGTTGCTGGTATTCCTTCAAGAGGTGGGAGACCTTTTCTAATAGCACCCTCCTATCCTCCCCCTTGGTGAGAATCATCTGCTACGGTGTGTCACAGTCACTGATAGGAGTAAGTTACATCTCTTAGGTGAGTTGGGGTTAAAAAAAATAGTTTCAGCTTTCTTTTTTTCCACAGGATTGCCAAGCCATATTTACTTTCTGAAATAAGAGGCATCATTGAAAACATCACTTGACTTTAGTTTAATCAATATCAAATAACTGTATTGGAGTATTTTAAAAGAAGACGTAGGTACAAACAACTTATAAAAGTGAATAACTTGCAAGATGAAATTGCCTTTTTTGATGGAAGCACAGTGTTCTTATACAATGTTCTTTTTCACATTTCATACTTCTCTGGCATTTATTATAAGGAACAAAGCATTTCTGGAATGCTCATTTTAATTTCAAAGCCCAGGCTATTCTATGGAAAACATTT